CTGAGCTCCAAGGACCAGTGCAAATGCCATTCCAACCATGGGAAATTTTTCTGCTCTGACTCCACCAGCCCATTGTTGTCTTGCTTCTCTGGCCCTAAAGCCAAATAGACACATGCCATTCATACATCCTTAGGTACATATGTCTTCTCTCAGGCCAGGGACCCCCAACTTCTAGCACAGGGCCTTGCACACAGGTGTTTCAAAACACTTTACCAACTTATTCTTGCACCACAGGCAAGGGGAAGAAGAAAAGGAGGTAGAATAAGACAGCTTACAGAGATACTCATAACAGTTGCTCTGGCTATGAAAAAATGGAACGGAGTTTGCATCTATCAGAAAGATCAAGACTAGCTACTCCTTGTTCTTCTCAACAAAGTTAGGTCTATCTGGGCTCGAAAGGAGCCCACGATGGAAAGATAAGTTGGCTGATAGTGTTGCGAAATGCTCCTTTGGCTATTGCTTAGTAGGGAATGGCAACCTACTCCAGTATTCTTGCCTGGGAAATCCCATGGACAGGAGCCTGGCAAGCTACAGTCCATGGGGTTGCAGAGTCGGACACAACTGAGGACTGACACTTTCGCCTTCACTTTTAGTGCTGTTCTGCTCTACACTGGAAAAACAGTAGCACTGAAAATTATTCCACTAGCAATACTACGGCAGGTGTGCCCTATTCATGCATTTCTGTATCTTAATGAACCCAAGTTCCAGTTTGATCCTCAGAGACTTATTTTCACTGCCTCCAAGCCCAGAGGGGAAGAAAATGGTAAAAGGACACCTGTTGGGACCCAAAGAATAGCTAGCACAGAGATAATGTGTCAGGCCAATTCTAGCTACATAATGTTTAAATGAAATCTTGTTTTCACTGGTGTCTATCTTGATTTTAACCTCTCTGCCTTACTCCGTGCTTTGGACAAGGTAATCCTGCTTGGGAAAAGACCATCCCCCAGAAATGGCAATGAGACAAGGAGTCAGGCTCAGGGAAAGGTTGGCTGGCTCCCTCTCCTCTCTCCACAAGCAGGAGACCCTGTCTCTTTCTCTTCTGTCTCTGCCCCACCTTCCTCTTTCTCTTTCTCCTCCCAGCCCATGTATGTCTGTTTCTCTGATCTCTGTTTTTAAATCTATCCTTTGCTTTCTCACCCCCCAGAGTTCCTGTCTCTCCTTTCTCTCCCTGTTCCAGGGTGTGTATGTGTGTGTGTGTCTTTCCTCTCTCTATTAGGTTGTATGTATCCCTCCTGTCTCTCTTCTGTTCTCCTCTGTCTGCCAGGCTCCTTTCTTGTGTGACTTTTCTGTAGGATACCTGGACTGGGAGCCAGAAGACTTAGTTTCTGGCCCTGGAACTACCATTAACTAGCTGTGTGGTTATGACCAAGTTGCTTTACATCTCTGGGCCTCAGTTTCCTTGGCCTATAGTAGGTGAGACTGGGTGCTCTTTCAGGTCCCTGGAGGTTCTGAGATTTTCATCACTGAATGCAATGAAACTCAACAGACCCATGAAGCAGTTGCTGTTGTAGAAACAAAGGAATCAGGCTGGGGGTTCCCAACAGCACAAGCGACAGGGGACACCCAAGTACTACTCAAAGAGGATGCGACTAAACCCAGGCAATACTGCTGGAGGATCTCCTACATGCTGGGTAGGCACTGCGCTTGCACCTCATTCAGTCCAAAAAGACAGGTATGTGATGTTTCCTATTTTAGGGGTGAGGAACCTGAAGCACCAGGAGTAAAGTCACTTGCCCAAGGTCCCATGACCAAGACTTGTCAGAACAGGATATCTCTCAACCCCAAATGTGCTCAGGAGTCTTGGATCCAGACTATATGGTTAATCAATTCTCTCCTCTTTCAGGATACCAACTCTGACTTCTTGTACCTCAGCCTGTCCCATTAATACCTGATTGCTATGCACCTGCCTGGCATGCTCAGGTAGCATGGACCTTTATATTTTCAAGTGTGTATCTTTTGTTGCCTTTCTATCTAAGCAGGCATCTTGCCAGAACCTAGTGCAGTGCTGGGCTCCCTGCCCAGGCCCACACTTGCTGAATAGCTGATGGTCACCAAGATGCTTTGTAGCACTAATGTTATGTCCCTGAGTCCTCTGCCTGGGGCTGTAAGTAAATACCTGGGACCCTTCAGACTTTCACAATTCCTGCATGCAGACCCCAGCTACTCACTGGCAACTACTGAATGGGCTGGGAGGGAGGGTTAGATGATGTTCAAGTCATAGAAGCAGAAACTGGGGTTCTCCAGTGATAATTTCAGCTCAAGTCAGCAAATATAAAAAGAACTCTAGCTTTATGCCAGGTGGCTAAGAGTTATAAGGGGCACAGAGAAGCAGCAGTCATGCCTTCTGCTCTCAAGGAGATACTGGAACAGAAGAGATGAAAAAATGAAAAATAAAAAATGATAAATTTATAAAATTTCAATAGCACTTTGACCTTTGCATTAAATTATTTTTTATGTATGTGGATGCATGCATGCATGCATGCAAGCCAAGTCACTTCAGTCAGGTCTGACACCCTGTAACCTTATGGAACGTAGCCCACCAGGTTCCTCTGTCCATGGTATTCTCCAGGCAAGAATACTGGAGGGGGCTGCCATGCCCTCTCCTCCAGGGGATCTTCCTGACCCAGGGATGGAACTCAAGTCTTCTATTTCTCCTGCAGTGGCAGATGGGTTCTTTACCACTAGTGCCACCTGGGAAGTATATATACATATTTAATTAAATATAATTGTAGGAGCACAGAGAAAGGAAACTATTTGTCCCAATCTGACTCTGAAAACTAGGACAGGCTCCTGCATGGCTTGGAATTGGGAGGCCAAAATTCAAGTTTGTCACTGGAACCACTAAGTTCATCATGTCCAGTGACCTCTGAAGCACCAGCTCAGACACTGATCAGACGCTGATGGTTGCTGGGTGTCAGGAAGCATCTGAGACCCATCACAAATTAGTAGCCCTTGTTTATCACATTCTTCTTTGCGTATCTGCCCCAGTGTCAGATATTTGGTGAGTGAGAGTGAATGGGACAATGGCTGAATGATATCATGTCTTCAGAAGTCACACTCACATGTCCAGAAAAGAACAATGGGATTAACCACCCTGGGGGATTCAGTCCTCACGGAAAATCCAAACCCCTTTACTTCTACCTCATAATCTTATTGCTTTTGTTGAGTGCCAACAATGTGATTCACTGACGGAGGTGAACTGATAGGGTCTCCATTCCAGAGATGCTCTCATTTCTAACAGCATGATGTAGAACAGTCACCAGTGTGGCTTTGTTATACTTTCCCTGAGCTGTAGTGTAGATGTCAGGGTGGCCACAAAATAGTCCAATAACCGCTATTTCCAGACAGTCTGTGTCTAGATGCCGCCCTCCTACTGGGGATGTCTTTCCCCACCCTCCTCACAGCCCTCTGCCCCTCTCCAGCATCTATCCTACACCATCCGACAACCATGAAAAGAGCAGGAAGGCAATGAGCACACCAAGGAAGCTGTATAATCCATGGTACAGAAATCTCCAAAAGTCACTCAAAGTTCACTGGAACAGTAATGTCCCCTCTGTGTGCCCCTGGAGGCTGGCACCTAACTCTGTCTCATTCACAGACCAACCCTGTGGTCTTCTGTGCTCAGAGATGATACACTGATCTGAACAATTCCAGATAGCAGGAACAGACAACTAGAGCATTTGCTTTTCCATTCCCAGCAAACCCCAAAAGGGTTTCAGAGCCTGGGCCAGCACATCAGCAGTTCCCATCTTTCCTGAGACTAAAGTGTCACCTCTGAAGACTCCTCACTGCCCTAGCTGGGGGGCGGGGGCTGCAAAGGAGTTAGGGCAGCCCAGGAATATGGGACACTTCTGGAGGCCTGTCTACTCCTGGGACTGACTGCATGGTGGTGACCCAACACACAGAGGGTGTCACAGCCCCTGATAGGATGCCCTGCTCTCCCTCCAACCTGTCTTCTTCTCAGGGTACCCAGTGTAAGATCTCCCTAACAACAGCTGTAAGGGGAACCAGCATTCCAAAGACACGTCCAGTTAGCTTTCAATTTTCCATGTATATTTTAATATACTTTTCGACTATACTTGGTCAATATCACAAGAGGTGTAGAAGGAGAGTGAAACGCTATTTTATGTGTAAAATCCTGAAATGACGAGGTGGCCACAGAAAAAGTTTGAGAACATGACTGTTCACATCCCTGCCTCTTGCTGTGAACCAGCAGGGAAATGATACTGAATCTTAACTCTCATCTCTAGTTTCCAACCACCCCCTGCTCCAGCTATTAGTCCTCAGAGAAAGGCTCCTAGGGGTCCCCAAAGAGACAGACAAAGGAAGTATGAGGAGAAAAGAATGGGTCATTTCATCCAAAAGGGTATTTGTGGCAAGGCTATCCTTTTATAGTTAGAAAATAACCATTTCTTTACTCTTTGTGGTAAAGAATAAAAGCTATGACTATTATAATAATGCAAGAAACAGATTAAGCCAGAAGTAACCTCTAATTACAGAACACACAATTATCAACAGCCCATCTTTTAAATCTGGTTTCCCAAGTTCAAGCTTGCCAAAGAATCCCCTAAAGGCTCTGTACCCCACTACACCCCAGCTCCAGCAGGCCACCTGCATCCCTGGTTGAGAAGCGAGCTGGCTGGGAGTCCAGCCCTGACAGTGCTCAGATAACCCCCCCAGACCCAGAGCTGTCTAGAAAGCTCATGCCTGGGGGATGGTCAAGCTTTCCCCCAAAAAAACAAAGTCATGACTGCAAAGAATTGCTATTTCTCAGATTGAGCCTCCCTTCCCAACCCCAGGCCAGGTCTGTAAAGCTGCTTAAGAGAGAAGCATCAGTGAACAAGTCTGGATGGTATAGGAGGGGGTGGGGGCTGCTGGGGGCTGGATTGCCCTCTTCCGTCCATAAATCAGGCATCCCCAGGCCTGATCACCTAGGTGAGGGACTCAGGCATGCCTGCTTGGTCTGTGAGAGATGCTGGGATGGGGGCGCAGTGTGTTACCTGCTGGACATCCTGCTGGAAGACGCAGAGCTGCAGGCGCTGGTGGAGCCGCACCTTGCGGTGCTGCCAGATGCTCTCAAGCCGCCGCTGGTGATGCAACACCTCGTGCACCACATCCAGCACCTGGTGCACCGCCTTGGAGTAGTTGGCTGTGGCTGTGAGGGACTCAGAGTTCCCGGGACTCAGGGGCCGCTGCAGCACATCCAGCAGTGCTTTGCCGTCCTGGCTGACCTGTAAGACGAGAAAGGTCAAGTCGAAGGAGAAGGGGGAGAGGAGGTGAGGCACGGAAAGGCAAGGCAAGCTGTAGGGGCCCCTGGTTGGAACTGAGATCCCACCCAGATGCATGACAACCGAGGAGTGTGCCACCAGAGCTGACCCAGTGTTCAGCCTGCAACCTGGGGAAGTGCTGGTGCTGCAGCCATCATCTTCAAGACCCTGAATCAGTGTCTCTCTTTGAATTTCAGCTTTCTCAGGGCAAGTACTCTGCCTTGTTTATCTCTCTGCATGCCTAGGACGGTGCCTGACACTCAGTACTTGATAAATATCTTGACTGACTCTCTAACTAGGTGAGGCAACACAGCTCCACTTTGGAAAAAAACCTGAATATAAGTTGTCACCATAAACCCCTCTTCCTCTTCCTTCCTCACCTTCCTCTACCTAGCTCTGAACTTCTAAGTGTGTGACTAGAGGCAAGTTACTTAACCTCTTTGGGCCTCAGCTTCCTTGTGTATGAGGTAGGGATAGTAATGGCACATAGCTCAGAGTTGTGGTAAGGATTAAACGAGTTAACACAAGCAGAGCACTTAGTTAGAACAGAACCCAGTGTGTAGTATTGGCTGCCAAATTCTATCTTTATCATCATCATCATTTCTCTGTCTTGCCTTCTTTATTTCCTTGTCATTTTCTTTCTTTTATATTTATCCTTCTTTCACTCTCCTTTTATTCAACACCTATTTTTTTTTTCTCCTGGAAGCGGTAACATCCCTGTCTTTTCAGAACATGCAGAATAAGGGAGGGACCCTTAGATTGTAGACACAACATCCATGCTCCTGGGTTCCCCAAAATTCACCCTCAGTGCTAAAACCAGTGGGGGTGACATTCCCTGTCAATCCTCACCAGATTTCTGGCAATATTTCTAGAAAGTGCCATCATCTGATTGATACTTGTGGCTCTCCAGCGCTTGGCAGAGTATCCAAGGAGCATGTGTCTTTCTAATTTAAAACAGTGATGACTAGGGAATTGATAGGAATTTTAAGACCCCAAATTAATCTGGTTAACAATGAAGTCAAAGTTGATGTAGAGTTAAGACAGTCCTTTCCTTCCAAAAACATGGCAGAGGGACCTGAGCTCCCACTTCTGGCCTTAATGAAGATGAATAGGGAGCTATTTGCTGGGCTTGCAGCTTCCCCTCCCCTACCTGCACATCCTGATACTAGCTTAGCTGGGGGCCCAGAAACACAGAGCCAGCAGTTACTCCCTGTTGATGGAGCCACAGAAGTGCATGGAGGACTGTGGCATGATAAAGAAAGGAGAACACATGATTAAGGTAGAGAGCGCAGCTGAGACAGGAGAGAGAGCCTGGCTGGAGGAAAATGACCAATTTTGATGACCAACTCTATCCACCCCATTCTACCGTGCTGCCTCCTACAATGTATTGCCAGGAAAGGGAGAGAGGAAGTACCTCATCAATAACTCAGAGACATGAATAAGATACACATTCCATGGCCATATCCAGGACAGCTCTCTTCAGGGAATTCTGAGCAATGCTACCTTTGAGCACTGTGCTCTGTCCAGGGCTGGGTGGTTCCAGTTGGAGGGCCAAGTCCTGAAATTCAAGTCAACCCAAATCCCAGTCCTCTGCCTCAGCCCACATGTGCAGGAGGCAGGGGCAGTCCACTGACCTCTAAAGTGGGCTTGAAGGGAGCATCTACATCCCACAGTGCTAGGGCCTGAGATTAATTGAGAGAAATGCCGTGTTTCTGTATATGATTATAATCACACTCCATGAGTGTGTAAGTATAATATCACTCTCATTTATATGCTCTATTTTTATATTTTATAAAGAGTAACTTTAGAGATTCTTGACCCATGGGCAGAGGCACAGTTCTGTTCTGAGAGAAAGCCTTGGGCTGTATGCATTGGAGCTGGTGAGATCAAATTTGGCTCACTAGTTCTGCTCTCTCTGCCTCTTAAAACAATGAAACCCGTTACCTTTTCAGCACTTATTATTGTCAGGCACTGGGCCAAGTGGATTACATGAATTACCTTTACAACTCTTAAAACTACAGGCAGTTGTTATTACTTTCATTTCCCAGAGGAAGAAAATGAGTCTTTGGGTGGTTAAGTAACTTGTTTGAGGTCACACGGGTAAGAGAAGGAACCAGGATTCAAATTTCCATTTTGACTGTGGCAAAAAATCTTATTTTTACTCAGAGGCCATTAGTTCTTTGACTTCAACAAGCACCAGACTCACTTGGGTTGAAATTTATTGAAATGGAGGTTCCAGGTCCTACTTCTTGACCAACGTGGTACCTGCTGATGGACGCATTTTTCTGCTTCCTGGGTGGAGACCATCATTCACAGATCAAAGATCTTAAAGATGTCTCCAAAAGGAGAAAAATGGCCTCTTTTCTTCTTAGTCCAACCCAGGCTATGTCACAGTTCACAGGCTGGCGCTCTTGCCACCCACCCCTATACATAGCCAGGACCCGTGGGTGTCCTGTTTGGTTCTCACCTCTGTGTAGGCCTGGGTCACCTGCTCATACAAAGACTGGTGGTGGTGAATCGCCAGCTCCAGGTCCTGCATCTCAGACGGCAGGCCACCTTCGCTGCACATCTTGCACCAGGCATCCACTCCCGACAAGAACTGGAAGGAGATATGCCAGCTAGGTCAGTGTGGGAGCACTGGGGGCAGGCAGTGATGGGCACGACAGATACCTTTAAGAAGCATCAGGACTTCTGGAAGCTTTCAGAGACCACTGCAGAAGGTGGAGTTTTTTCTTTAATTCTATAAACACCAACCTCAGGAAGGAAGTCATACCCAAATACCTATTTAGAAAGTGTAGTTTACACAAAGAAAGATGACTACTATGAAACTGCTGGGGGTGGAAGTTGTCTTCATGTTCAGTGGGCTATATCCACTATAAAATACATGTGTGAAAACAGTTCACTAAATTACATGTGTACATGAGAGATGCTTATCCTGTGCATGCTCACACATGAGAGGCAACATATAACAAAATGGGATATTTATCACATGTGCTTTACAATGTGGATATCGAGCTGTGAAGAGGAGCAAAGAATGCCTCATAAAGGCCCATTCGGGACCCCAGGGAACTTGCAGAGACCATTCCTACAGGGGGTGGAGATTAACATTCAATAAGATTCCTGCTGTTGGGTCAGAACCCCAAGGGGCTGGCAGGGGGAGGGTAGATTAAGGACAGACTGTACTGTGTCTAGAGTGGTTCCTGGGACATGATATATAGATATAGATCTTGACAGAAATAAAATTATTTAAAAATTAAAATTAATAATTTTGGAAGACTATGGGTCTCCATGCACAAAGGGTGAGCTAACTGAAATCACTCAGATTTATTGGGTGGAAAATACACCTCTAAAATGCAGATTATTCTTCACCCAACAGTCTGGAATGGTTCTGTCTGTGATTCTTCTTGCCTGAGTGCACAGCTCCATTTAAATTAATTGCCTAAATACCTTTTTATCTCATTGCCTAGAACAACCCATCTGAGGACAATAAAGAGCTGCCTAAATAAATTCATTGAAAAAATAGCCTTGAATCCATTGTTTCGTGTATGTGTGTGTGTTTTCCAGCTAAAAAGAAGCATGGTTTATGAGTTTCCCTGAAGGACTGGCAATCTTGAGAAACTGCATTAAAAAAATGGATAAAAATAAAATTTCTTCTCATCCAAAATAATCCAAGTCAGGAAACAGCAAATAAAAGTTGATTCCTCCAGTTACTCTCAATTCGGGTATGTGTTTCTACAACTGCTTGAGTCCTCCTCTTGGTATTATGTCAGCTTTCAGTCCTTAGCCAGTTGGCTGTGGTGGTTGATTTTTCATTCTGTATGTTTGTATTGCATTAAGCCACCTCCTAACAATTCTGGAAGAGTGCTGGGTATCACCCAGTATCAATCTGCATGTGTTTTCTAATATCTCAGAAGCTGCTTTTCCCCATCAACAACCATTTTACAAAGCAACCTGAAAGTAACTTGATGGTTATATGTCAATCATGGGGGTAGGACCTCTTCAAGGCCTTTGGGATTTCTTGGTAACACTCTAACCAGTGTCCTATATCAGATCCCATACAATGGTCATCTCAAGGAGAAAAAGAGAGACAGAGAGGGAGGCATTGAATCTCCATTGCCAGTCTATAGAAATCTTGAACAAAGTTTGAAGTAATAGGGTTGAAGAGAGAATAGGAGATTAGCTGTGGATATTCGCAGGTACTACCACCATTATCATAAAAAATAATAATAAAAGGCTAGATTCCTCTCAATGTGTACGGCTGCTCTTGACTTATAACACAAGAATTTCAGTCTCTGGGAAGGGCTCAGATAGAATCAGACACAGGGTGGAGGAAATACAAACATACCAGGATAGTATGTTGAACATATACCCACAGTAGTAATGTTTACCACTTAAGAAACACACTAAGCACCTAATGTTCCAATTCTTGTAACAGTGCTGTGAGATTTATGATCATCCCCACATTAGAGATGAGCAAACAAGCTCAGAATGTTGAGATGACTTGCCTATGAGTTAATGATCAGAACCTACATATGTCTGGCATCAAAACCTAGACTCTTTCAATTATTCCATGCTGACTTCCATGTTAGGTGGGTAACAGAGGAAGAGATTTAAGGAATGACCTTGTGTCTGACTCTGTATTACCTATGAGCTACGCAAATGTCATACAAAGAAATTTAGAGGATAAGACCATGGCTTTAATGTGAGACACACTTGATCCCAGATGCCTATAGATCGTTTGATTTTCACAATGGTGTATTAATAAACTTTTAATAACCAGCATAAATCTGTGTGTGTGTATACATCCAATATGTTATAAATTTTACTGCTATAAAAGATGTGTAGCATATACATAATTTACAAAGAAACTGTAAATTTAGAAGCATATAGAATGCTTCTTATGATAAATCCCACATAACAAATTAATTCTCACAGATGCTTCTATTTGTAAATGACAAACTTATACAGTTACAGCACAAAAGCTGGTTGGTATTTTAACTTTTGTTAAGGTATAAGACAAAAGTAAAAAACACCTGGCGACTTATGTCAGAATGTTACTCATTCATCAGTGATTTTAAGTGGCTTTTTTGCTGAATGAAATTATATTTTTGAATATCAGAAGAATATTTCCTTAATTTTGTGTTCTATTCACAGTGTAACAGCTCTACACAGAGCACATTTTTACACTGAAACTAAATTTTAAAATATTTCTCTCTCATTTTTTTTAAAGATTCTATACAATCAATAAAACAACAAATCAAGCACTGGTTTGTAACACTTGTTATTTTCATGGTGTAAAATGTCTCTCTTGGTCTATTTCAGGCTACCAGTATGACATCACCAAATGTGGAGCTGGGAGGAGGTGATCAGCAGCACACAATTGTACACTTTTTCCACCATAGACATAAATATTAGAAATAATCTCAAGAACATAGAAAATAATAAGATCTATTGAAATAATTGAAAATGATGAATTCTGAGTATTAATTACCTTTGTTTTTAATATGACATATTTAAACTTATACAGTTTGAAGTAATGGCTATGTTTAACAACAAGTTCATTTTTTAAATTTGTGAAAATTTAGCCATTGGCTCTTCCTAAGCTGGTTAGAGTCAGCTCCTATACACCACTGGATCTTAGGCAGATCACTTAATCTCTCTGAGCTTCCCTGCTCCTCTCCATAAAATGGGTTAATAATGTCAATGGCCAATGCCAGTAAGTAAATGGCAACAAATAATAATTATTTCTGTCCACTGTTTTATTATTATCCACAGCAAATGCTTCATGTAAAATTAGTTTGCCCCTGATAAAACTCAATGATCAGTTTAGTTTCACTCCTTGGTCTATGTTCATGGAATGCAAACTAAGCAGTCAACACACACACACCAATAAACTAGTAAGCAGAATGTAAACAGGCTCTGGTTCCTTCCTGTTTGAATGTAAGCAAAGCCACTAAGAGTTATCAATGTCTTTCTGTGTACACAGGGGCCATAACAGTGGTAGAACATGGGTTTTGTCACAACTACCCAACAAGGTCTTCAGTGTTTCAAAAAGAGAGGAGGGGCTCTCTACACCTCAGTGTATGTCCTCCCAGCCTGCCCTGTCCCTGCCCCACCAACAGCAGCTGCAGCAGCTCCCCCTGGCCTCACCTGCTCAGCCTTCTGATGGAACACAGCAGACATGGCGAGGATGGTGCTGCGTTCATCCAGGGCAGCTGCGAAACTCTTCCACTCCTGGTCTAGCTGCGTGGAGATCTGCTTGATTTGCTGTGAAGCGTAGTGGCCAGCCTCTGAGAGGCGGGAAGCCACAGACATGATGCGGTTGATGTTGACATAGGCATTCTGGGAAGCAAGGGAGAGTGGTGCTTAGTGGGGCAGGCTGAAAAGGCACCCACAGAGCACTCTGGGGTGGGGAAGTACATAGTGAAGGAGGCTATCCAAACTGAAAAGTTTGAGAGAGGCTATATCAGCCATATTAGCATACCCATTTTGGGCCCAAAGGAGGCCTTTGTTTACATATTAAAATTTCAGCAGATGGCAGGTACAGAAACTGAGCTTTTTCATTCTGAGGACCAACACAGTTTCTGTGGTTCAGACACTAAAGAATCTGCCTGTAATGCAGGAGACCCAGCTTTGATCCCTGGGCTAGGAAGATCCCCTGGAGAAGGGAATGGCTACTCCAGTATTCTTGCCTGGAGAAGCCCATGGACAGAGGAGCCTGGCAGGCTACAGTCCATAGGGTTGCAAAGAGTTGGACATGACTGAAGGGACTTAGCATGGCACATGGCACATAAATACCCATGAATGCAGTCACTTTACATGGATGACCTTAATAATCCTCACAATCACCTTATGAGGTCATGCCATGGTGACAACATGGTACTTCCGAGTTTCTCATTGGAAGCAATGGCTCAGAACAAGGCAAAAGCAAGAGGAGGAAAAGGCACCTCTCTCAACTCAGGAGAGGGCTGTACCCAGGGCATTACTATAATAGGGCAGCAATGCTCAGAGAGCAAAGTACACAGGTCACAGGATAACCACACATCTTCCTACCACCAAGTGAAGACTTTACTGTCCCCCGTTCCTGCCCCCACCAAGGAAGCAAGTAAATAAAGATAGCATGTGCTGTGCTTAGTCGCTCAGTCGTGTCTGACTCTTTGCAACCCCATGGACTGTACCCTGCCAGGCTCCTCTGTCCATGGGGATTCTCCAGGCAAGAATACTAGAGTAGGTTGTCATGCTCCTCCAGGAAAGATAGCATATGAAGCCACAATATCTACACTAAAAATAAGACCTGTGAGCCCTTTATTATCCCTATGTGATTTAGGAACATTTCCCCACCTGACCTCAAAAAGGCATCTGTGAGGTTCTCCTGGCCCTGCTGACTCCTCTCACCCTGTGTTTTGTTTACATTCATTCCCATCTTTGATTGCCAATTAAAAATTCATGACCATGTGTGTCATTCCTTATTAGGCCAGCAGAAAACTCTTCAGGAAGAAACAAGACAATAGAAAACCCACAGAAACAAAGACAGTAGTGAGCATGGTTATTTTTAACTGCTATCTCCTATTAATTGCCTGAGGTGTCAAAACAATCAAGCAATATTGTGGCACCTACAAGGAGCTTTTCTGACTCACACAATGTCTATCTGAAGAAGGACTAGGGTGGCAGGTTGCTTGCTTTGTTCTTTGTTACGAATCTTCTCATATGATAATAGATATCCTTTAGCAACAGGCTCTATTAGCTCAGCAGTAGTTCATTAATAGCAGGGAAGTTTAGTGAAGGTTCTTTATTTTCTTTTCACTCTTCCTTCATGGTCCCCATTCATCTTCATTGTCCCTGACCTCAAGCATTCTTCCCAAATCTGAGACAGGTTTATAAAGTCGCTCTTCATTTAAAAGGTCTCTGTGAAGGTTTAAGGGGTTAAGTGAAGCACTTAAACACAAATCCATCCTGACGTCTATGCGTGATTTCTTTCTTTAGATGGGCCTGAGACCTTTCTGATGTAGCATATTCCCTTAATAGAACTAGAATATTATTAACTATTATTATTTGAAATAACTATCCTTCAAAAATTTAGGAATCATTATCAGTCCTGTTTTCTGAGTTAGGACACAGATTCTTCTTAAAATTAAACTCTATTTATAGAACTGACAAGAAAGACCAACTCTGAATTAGAAGGAAAGAAATGGGGAAGAAGGGCATACACTCAGTTTAATAGTTCTGTCTTCTAAGGGACTAACATCTGGATTTCCCCCAAATTTCCTGCTGGGGTTTCACTCAAAGCAGACTTGAAACAAGGATTTGGGGCAGATTGTTTATATGGGTATGATCCCAGGAAGCACAATGAGGGAGTGGGCAAGTTAAAGGGGAAAGGGAGGCAAATGAAGACAGGATGTGTTCATTAATGGGTTACTGCTGTGAGCATTTGGGGGTCCTCCTTCCCGAAACCTTTAAGAGACTATATAGAACATACTTCCAGACATCGCAAGGAGAGATGAGGGATCTGGAGTATTTATGTACCAAGTACTATTACTCATGGTTGAAGTTTCTTCTGGAGTTACTCCCTGGCATTTCCAGCCTGACCTATACACAAGCCTAGCACACTCCCCAGGCCAGGGAGTGACCATGGGCAGAGAAACATGGGAAGCTGTCATTGTATATGGGAACCAGATGTCCCTCGGGGCAGACTGAGGGGTATGAGTGGAACATTGACAGAGTCTAATAAAGCGCTCCTTCCAAACTAGGTTCAAGTCCTGCAAATCCTCCCTACCCTCATACATTTATCCAGACCCATCTAGTTTTTTTGGGTTTTCCCGTCCTGGGAAAGACCTCCACATCCTCTGGCCCGAAGGGAAGCAAGACCAGCAATAAAGAGCAGGGCACGGCCAGTCCCAAGGCTCTCTTGTGTGTACCATATGAATGCCTGACCCTTTGTCATCACTGCCTGTTTTATGTTCTCTCCCCACAGGGAACTCGGAGAGGCATGCTCCTGCTCACTTTCAGGAAGAATTTTTCTAGCTATAAGAGATGTCGAATTGTGGCTACCACTGGAGGCTGTTAACATTTTGTCACTCATTCAAATGTTTATGGAGAGTGGACCAGGCTCTGTGTTGGGGGCTGTGGGATATCAAAGAGGAATGAGACAGGATTTCTGTCCCCAGGGGCTCACAGCTGAGACTTAAGAAAAGTCCTCAAATAACTGTAATTTAAAGCAAAATGAAGTAAGTATTGTGACAGAGGTAGCAGCAACTCACAGTGGGGATGCAGAGAGAAAGGGTCTGAACCACCAGCAAGGATGTTAGGAAGGGGCTTCCTGCACAGAATGGGGTGGTGAAGCTGGCAGTCCTCCAAGGTCCCCTTCAACCCTTAAGCCTGTGATCATAAATGAAAGCTAAAGACAAACAAACAGAAAAGACCATAGCTTACATTTCACATTCTAGAGACTAGCACAGTAAATGCCTTTTTGTTTCCTTATCATTGGGCAGGAAAATGTCTTACTTAAGCTAACAAATGATTATGTTTCACACAAGTAGAGGCAGTATTCCTCACAATAGAAGGATAAATATAATGTTGACTCATGAATTTGCTCATTGTTCTTCTCTACAGCCCCTGTGCAGAACAGCAAAACACTGCAGGCAAATCACGTGGCCCAAGCTCATCATCTTCATCTCCCTGGAGCCTAGAACCTCAGACAAGTAGGCAGATAGATTCTAAACTGGAGTCACAAACCAAATGACCAGAGAGGAATGGAGGAGGTCTCCCATCACTTAAAAGGACAAAGTAAGGTTAAGAATCCGAATAAATAGGGTACTTAGTTGTTAGGCACAAAGGTCATGGCCTCTGTTAAACCCCTCTGTGTAGTTTTTCTGTGTTAAAGAACACCTGGGACTCACACTTGTCTTGGGGTTATGGCCAGCAAGAATGGGTATTTTGACTCTTTATGGCCTTTCCATTTTCTACCAGCTGCCTCCTCTACTCTGTCTGCATGGCTCTGCTGTTCTTAATGCCCTTCGAGCTGCAGAGCTGACCATCAGTCAAAGGCATCAAAGTTGTTAGGCCAGGAGCCAGGAGTTAGATGTGAGTTAGCCCTGGCACTCACTTAAGATGTCATGTGCCTCCTCTGTGCCCCAGCTTCCTCATCTGTACTATGAACTGAAGATTTGACATTCCATTTCTGAGTAAGCAGAGTTGGTACTATATAACCAGGCCTCGAGGTATTCCCTGATTCAAGGAGAGTGTCCAGATTGAAAGTAGAGAGAACCTAGGAGGTCACAGACTTCTTCTGTCTCATCTCCAGTGCCTGGGGGAATACCTGCTAAATCTAGACTCTTCTATGGAGGAGGTGAGGCATACATTGAAGCAAGAAGAGTAACTCAAAGCTGTCAAGTATCCATGGGCAATGGGATGGTTTTAAACAGAAGAGTGATATGATCTGGTTTATGCTTTCAACAAACTGCTCTGTTTGCTAAAAGGCTGGCAAGGGACGCCTGCCTGGAGTGAGACCAACAGCAGTACAACTCAGCTTAGGCTGTCTGCATGCCTCAGGCCCTCAGCCCAGCTCTGCTTTCTGCTCTGTCCTGTGAGACCCACGACTGGAGCTGAGTGACCAAAGACCAGCCTCTTCACCCAAGCTGAGCTACCAAGACTAACCAGATTCTCTGACCAGAAATTTAACAATAGGACTAATAATTATGGCTTAGTGAGTATCCTCTTAAACCCTTATCTCAACACTGCCTCATCAATTTACCCCCGCCCCCACCAAGTGCTGCTATTATTATTATCATTATCAAAATATCACACTGTCCAAGGTTTAAAGACGATCTACCCTGCAGAATGCAATCCACCAGCATCCTGGTCTGCTGCATCATTCACCCCTGCCATCTCCCCTCAGAGGCATTCCTCTGTTTTGGTCACAAACAGAAAAAAATAACTAAATTCAGCAAAATCTTGCTAACTCGAAATCCTCTATATTTACACCTTGCCCCCACTTTTGTCCTACAAAATTCTGTTTTCTCATTTCATTTCTATAGTCATTAACTGGAGATCAGAGGATGGAAGACTGGACTCTTCTCCTGAGGTCTTGTCTCCTGCTGTGATTAACTTAAATTGATGAAGCAGAGTCATTCTGCTGAAATTTCTATGTGGCAAAATCTTGATGAAAATTTTCAGCCCTGCCAAAGGCTCTCACTTTGAACCTGGCCCCTGGCTCCTCTGACTGGCTACAAAACATGCAAAGCTGCTTGCAAGATAATGATAACTTTCCACGTAAAAACCCAGCTAAATTTTCTCTTTAAATGTAGTCTCTTATGTGGTATACTCTGAAAGAAATACTGGTTCTT